GAAGACTACATGAGTCATCCCCCCACGATGCAGGTGGGAGACCACCAAAGTCCACCCAAACCTCCTCGAAGACCCTCTCCATGCGGTTGGGAGATCTCAGCACCTGCAGGGAAAGACTGCTCCCAGTCAGGAGATGCCATCCTCATCTCAGACCACACCAAGTGTCTGGGGAGGTTGGAGATCCACCAGAGAGCTTTGCCATGGTGGGAACAGGGCAATGGCCTCTGAGACATACCTGAAGTTACAGTCATCTTGGCTTGGTACTGAGTAGGGGAGAAAAAATGATGTTTTCTGCCACTGATTCCCTTTATTTATGAGGTCTGCACTTAGGGGTTTGGTGTGTTACTTTGCCAAGGTTCTAGGAGATGGGTGGGTACCATACCAAAGCCCAGTGTTGGCTGGAGCTCCCTAGCCATGTTCTCTAGACAAAGCCCAATGACCTTAAAGCTCAAATGCTAAAAAAATGCCAACATTAAAGCAGGATTCCCCCCGCAAAATGATGTGGAGTGGTAGGAAGAGACCAACCCCTGGGCTTGCTCCTTGTTGGTTGCTGGAGCCTCTTTGGGGATTCTGAGGCTCAAGGGCTCCCTCCTGCCCCAGTCTGGAGGTAAAAAGGGGGCTGTGGCGCTCGTGCGCCTGGACTACCCATGGGTGTGCGCGCACACTCCCCCCCCCAACCAGTATTTATCACACCACCTTTTATTCCTGAAGCTGTTATCACTATGAGCAGATTACCAGAGGAGAATGCTAGATGGGACATAAAACAGCCCTTGGGCACCTTGGTGTGGGGAGAGTTTGGAGCAGTGAGGGGAAAGAAAAAAGGTCCTTTTTGTTGTGTTTGGGCAGGGTGAGAGAGCAGGAGATGCCCAGGATTAATTTGGGTGGGAGGAACGGAGGGTGTTTTCTTTCTCCTCCAGCAGAGCAGGAGGAACTCACACCTGAGTTGGTGATTTCTGCTGATGGTGGTCCCTGTCCTTCCCTTCATCTTTCTTCCCTCTCCCACACGTGCCAAGTCCTGGTTGACTTCCAGCCTTTGGAGAAGACCTTCTGGCTGGACTGGCATCACTGAGCTTCACCAGCACAGCGTGGTGCCACTCATGCACGCCATGACCATGGTGATGCTGCTGGCGCGTGATGACATTGGAGCTCTGGCTGAAGCTCTTCCCACACTCGGGGCAGCGGTAGGGCTTCTCCCTGGTGTGCACCCGCTGGTGCTTGGTGAGAGACAAGTTGACATTGAAGCCCTTCCCGCAATCCCTGCAGACATAGGGTCGCTCGCCGGTGTGGACCCGTTGGTGGGTGGTGAGATGAGCCCGCTGGCTGTACTGCCACCCACACTCCCCACACTGAAACGGCTTCTTCCCGGTGTACACCCGCTGACGCCGTGCCAGGTTGGAGACCACCGCGAAGCTCTTGCCACACATGCCGCAGAAGAAGGGGGGTCTCTCCAGTATGGCTGCGCTGGTGGGTGAGGAGGTAGGAGCTGGTGGTGAAACCTTTGCCGCACTTGTAGTGCTTCTCCCGCCGGCCGGCACTGTGGTGCCAGATGAGGTGGGATCGATTGCTGAAGCCTTTGCCGTAGTCGGCACAGCTGTAGGGTTGCTCACCGCTGTGTGTCTGTTGGTGGGCGATGAGCTTGGAGCTGATGGTGAAGCTTGTGCCGCAGTCAGCACAGGTGTAGGGCCGCTCACCGCTGTGCGGCCGTTGGTGGGTGATGAGGTTGGAGCTGCTGCTGAAATGCTTCCCACAGTCGGGACACTCGTAGGGCTTCTCCCCGGTGTGGGTACGGCGATGTTTGATGAGATCGGAGCTGACATTGAAGCTCTTCCCACACTCCCAGCACAGGTAGGGGCGCTCGCCTGTGTGCAACCGGCAGTGGGTCACCAGGTGGGAACGTTGACTGCAATGCCAGCCGCAGTCAGGACACTTGTAGGGCTTCTCCCTGGTGTGGCTCCGCCGGTGACACACCAGGTTGGACACCACGTTGAAGCTCTTACCGCAGGGGGTGCACTGGTAGGGTTTCTCACCCGTGTGGATGCGATGGTGTGTCACCAGCGCCGAGCTGTGCCTGAAACCCTTCCCACGATCGGGGCATTTGTAGGGTTTGTCCCCACCGTAGCTCCACTGGTGACAGAGCAAGTTGGAAAAGACCCTGAAGCTTTTCCCACAGTCAGGGCAGGGGTGCTGGGACCCCCGTCTCTGAGGATGGAAGCTCTTCTCACTGGTGGAATGAGAGATGAGTCTACCTCTGGGACGAAGGCTACAGGGGAACAGCAATTCCCTGCGTGTCCCTGGAGTTTCCCTCCCAGAAAGACCCTGGACCTCTTGTTGGCATTTCTCTTGGGAGCTCTGGTGGATGTTGGCTAGCTCATGGTGCTGGGAGATGTTCTCTGGGCAGGTCTTGATGTCTGGGTCTGTGTGTGCAGTGCTGTCCTTCATCCCACTCACCATCCCATCCCCTGCAGAGGAAGAGATCATGAGGAGTCAGTCCCTGGCTGGGATGACGCAAGGGCTGGGCACAGCTGAGAAAGGTCTCCTTGTTCTCTTACATAGCATCTCCTTGGCTGGAAAGAACATGGGGCCAGGTGGACCATTGGCCTGATGTGGTGGAGCATGTGCTCCTCTGCAGAAGGTGGGGATGGAGGGTGCTATGGGTCCCTGGGGGGGAAACACAATTGCCAGAAGCAATGGGGAAAGTCTCCTTCACCTCCAAAGTCTAGAGGAGCATCCCCTGTGCCCACCAAACCCCAAGACTTGGCCCAGGAAAGAGGGAAGATGTGTCCTTACCCATAGAGGAGTAATTTCCAGTGCTCTCCTGCATGGCTTCCTGGTACTGGGCCTGCTGGCCGGGATCGGTGAAGTACCACCTCCCTGAAGGTCACTGGATACTGCAACAACAAGGATGTCCCAGGTCAGTGCCTGCCACCATAGGTCAGCTCAAGGCAGCATGGAGAGGAGCCAACATTCAGCAGAGCTGCAGGGCAGCCAGAAAGGATGCTGGCAAGGATCAGAGAGATCAAGGTATTGTTCCTTATGGGGTGTAGTTAAGCTGTGGAAAGCTGCAGGACATCACAGATGGTAAAGGTTCAGAAAGAAGCTGGGTACGCTTTGGGGGAAGGAAAAGCAGAAACTGGAAAACACCGAGGGTTGTTAAACACCCAAAAATGCCTGGTGGGGATGATGGAGCTCAACCAGGCTGGGCTCAACCTCTCCACCCTGTCCTCTGTGCCTTTTCTTGTCACTTGGAGACACAAACCCCCATGCCTTGCTGTGATTTTTCCACCTTCCCTGTGTTTCTGAGATGGGGAAGCTCAGAGAAACCCTTATGGCATCTTGCGTCCAAGGCTCAGCCTTGTAGCGTGCCCACCACAGGCTCCATTCTCTGCTCCTCACCACCCCTCCTGCACCCTGACCACCCGCTGCTGGTATATGGGGACCTCTTGGTCCAAAAGGAGCGGCAGGAAGGTGATAACCCACATCTATGGTCACAAAGCAGCTTGTGCAGCCCCACCAGACCGGGCAGAAGGTACCTGGCACCAACATTTCAGGTCAGCCAAAATGCACTTGCTCACCCCGAAGGAGAGACTCTCCCTCACCTCTGCTGGCTCTGCTGTGGCCATGTCCTTCTCTGTCCCTCTCGACAGCAATGGGGATGCTCCGCTGGAGCCTATGGAGGGAGGAGGTGCTGAGCTGTTCCCTGTGGGAAAACTGTGAAAAAACCCCGGACAAATCTGGGCAATGCCCTTTGCATGGGCATCTGTGCAAGGGAAGAAGCCACCTCCTTCCTTCCTGCAGGGTTTTTCCCCTCGGAATACAGGGAGAGGGCTCAGCCAGCCCTTGGCCAGCAGAACTCAGCTTCCTCGGACCTTTTCCACCTTCTTGGGAGCAGATCTGCTGCTCGGATCACCAGGGAAGAGCCAGGTCCCGGGAGCAGCTCTGGTCTCTCCATGCCCTCTTGTGGTGCACGGGCATGGGGCAAGGGCCAGGGACTGCTGCTCCCTCTCTCTGCTCCTTGCACTGGTCCCAGTACGGGGACTGGGAGGCAGGACAGCCGGTGTGGGGGTTTCCTCTCCTCGCCCATCACCTGGAGTCTCTGGCTCGGGATTTGGTGCGGACAGAGCCCCGGGGCAGAGGGCTGTTTCGTGCCTCGATGGGCCTGGGGATGCAGGCAGAGCTCTGCCCCTGCTCGGAGCACGTCGGGGATCCCTGCAGAGCCCCTTTCTCCCCTCCGCCTTCATCATCCCGCTGATCCAGCCCCTTCCTGTGTCCTCCTATACCCAGCCGAGCTGCAACACACCGAGAGCCGCCGGGGCTGCTCAGTGTCGCCCAGCACCAGGCTTGGTCCCCCGGTCTGCCTTGGGGACATCTGTCCGCTGCCACCAGCTGAGAAGGGATGGAGCAGGCACAGAGGATGAGGGAGGCTGCAGAAATCAGCTCCGCTCCCTCCTTCGGCGGGGAAGCAGGGGTTAAACATCTGTGCACGAGGGAGGGCAGGATTTAGGGATAATTCCCCATCCTTGCGCTTGTTCCAAAGCAAACGAAAAGAAAATTACTGCTTTCCTCTCCGCTCGCGGCTTTTCCCAGCCGGGGAGGGATTAAACCACCACCAAAACCCCTGCACCCACCATAGAGAAAAGCGTCCGTGTGGTTTTAAATCTCCTGGGCTTTCTCGGAGGCAGAAATCCAGGCTCCTCTCTCATTCCCCCGCTGCATTTCTTTATCTTCTTATTTGCAGAGTTGTGTTTCCCTTGGCTTTCATGACCGCCTCCTCCAGCAACAAGGAGGGATAACTTGGTAAGTGGAAATTCCCCTCCTTCCCACCCACAAGCGTGTAACTCCCGAGCCTGGAGCTTTGAGGGGGGAAAACAACCTGCTTTTCACCAGCCACGTGATGAAAACATGGTTTGGGCCACTTTTCCAGGTGGAAAAAACTAATTTCTTGCTTGCCTGATGCTGATCCCTGATGCCGATCGGGCAACCAGCCCGGTGACACCCCCCACCCCCACCTGGAGGATGCCCTGTCGCCCCAGAGAGACCCCGGATGCCCGTTCGCCCCAGAGAGCCCCCCCCCTCACCTTCCCACGCTTCCCCGTGGTTGCAATACTATCAGCATCCCCGCTGCTGCTGTTGCGATCCCCTTGGCAGCGTTTCTAGCGAGGTCGGGGCTCGCCAAAACAGCTGGGTAAGGGAAAAGCATGGGGGCAATTCCGGCGATGGGACAGCAGGATCTTAGTGGGGTCTCGCGTGTCCCCCACAGGTGCCGGGGAGCCTGCGGGGAGGGTCGGGATGGGGGGGCAGCCGGGGTTGGGTTACCTCTAGAGGGCTCTGGGTAAACGCTGCGGCCAAGGAGCCTGTTCTTGGCGTCTCCTCTCTCCCGGATCATGGATTGGGCTTGCCATGCCCGGCATCGCCTCCATTGTGCCCGGCTGTCGGGAGGCTCGGCGGTCCTGGGGGTGCAAGGGGGGGTTCTGTGTATCCCCCCCTCCTTGCAGCGTCGGCCTGGGAAAGGGGGGGACGCTTCTCCCAGGGAAAGCCCTGCGGAGGCAGCTCCAGGCTCGGCTGGCAGAGAGTCCTGAGCCAGGGACTCCAGGTAACAAGGAGAAACCCTGGGCAGGGATGTGCTCCTGCTCTGCAGCGGGTCCTGAGCTGTGTCAGGGCTGGAGCTTGCAGGATCCGGCCCTTGGGGATGTTCCCAGGAGTGACAGCTCCTTTGGGGAGAGGAGAGTGGGTAAGCAGGATGGAGAGGGCTCCCCGGGAACGGGGCACGCAGCCCCGCCCCTGGGACATCCCCCCACAGATCCCTGTCGCCCTGGGAGGGCTGATTCCCAGTGAGAGGAGGACCGGGGGAACTGGGATATTGGAGGGAGGAAGGCAGAGACATGCTGTGAAATGCGGTCTGCCAGAAAGATGGGGGGGAAATGGGGACCCTCCTGACCCCCATCCCCAAGCTGCTCCGCACAGGCTTGGGCTTAGTCCTGGACGGAGGGACCATCTGTGTGCTGCAACCTGGGGAGAAATAACCCCAATACTTCTTGAGGAACCCCCAGAAAAAGTATCAACACCCAAGCAAGAAGCACTACACAGGGAATTTCTTTCATTTCAAGGGATTTCTCTTCCCCGTAGGCGATTTTTAGGAGCCCTGAGCGAGGAACGGAGGGAGAAACCCTTGTTTTCCCAGCTGCCTGTGCCTCTCCCCACCATGGAGCCATGGGTGATGCTGGACCCGCGGCAGAAAGCCCTGTACCGGGATGTGATGCAGGAGAGTTACGAAACACTGATGTCCCTCGGTAAGCAAACACACACAAAAAAAAAATCCTCTTTCCTTCTTGAACATTCCTCCCTTTATTCCTTGCTCTTTTTGTGCCCCCCCCCGTGTCTCTGGTGGGGAAGCAAAGGGATTGCATGCAGGATGGGAAGTGGGGCAGAGGAATCCAGGTGGGTTTTGAGGGGGATTTCCCCAAACTCAGCCATCTCCTTGTTTGGGTTTTTTTTTCTGTAGGAAAATGTTATTGATCTCTCCACATTATTTTTTTTTAATTGGAAATAATGGGGTGTGCTTAGCATTTCCACATTCCTGGTTCAAAGTGGGATCAGGTCTCCCATCGCATCTCTCTTCCTCCTCTCTGGGAGACCAAGATTTTTAAGGCAATCCTGTTCCTGCTCCGTTGATTTAAATGCCACCCCCTGCTCTGGTTGAGGCCACGCTCTCCCGTTTTTCTCCTTTTCCCATTTCCCCAGCAGCACAGGGGCTGGTGAGTGAAAAAGCAGCGGAGGAAGGAGCAGCAGCGGAGAGCTGCGAGGAGCTCGAAGCATGCTCGTCCCGCAGCCCGGAGAGGGAGAAGACCCTCGGTTCAAACAGACGGAAAACGAAACGCCCGGATAAAGCCGTGCCGCACGGCACCGCAAAGATGCCCAAAGCTGCGGTGGTCCCCAAACTGGACTGTGCCAAACCCCTACGTGGGGCAGCCGGCAAAGGAACGGCAAGGGAACGGCCATTCGGCTGCACTGATTGCGGCAAGAGCTTCCCATGGGCTTCGCACTTGGAGCGGCACCGGCGGGTGCACACCGGCGAGCGGCCTTTCGGCTGCCCCGAGTGTGGCGAGACTTACAGCCAGAGCTCCCCCCTCCTCCAGCATCGCCGTACCCACGCCAGCGACCGGCCGCATAAGTGCGGCGATTGCGGCAAACGCTTTGCTGGCGCAGCTGAGCTGGCAGCACACGGTCGGGGCCATGCTGCCGAGAAACCCCACAAATGCGGCGACTGCGGCAAGGGCTTTGTCTGGGCGTCCCACCTCGC